TTTAAATTTATTTAATATATATTTAATATATATTTATATATATTTATTCAATAATATTACCTAATAAACCTAATAAACAAAAAAAATATATAGATAGGAAGCTGTAAGACATCAGATTAACAAGCGATGCTCTAATTTTTTTATTTTATTTTTTTTTTTAATAATATATGGTTTAACAGAAAAAATAGACAAATAAAAATATTTAAAAAAATAAATAAATAAAATTAATTGTTCGCCATAAAATATAAAAATAATAATTGAAAAAAAAACAGTTCAACAAATAACCTGAACAATTTATGATTTTTTATAGCAAAAAATTTTATTAATTAATAAATATTTTAATGACAGAAAAATAGCATAGCATTTAACAAATTTGTATATTTTTAACAATTAATAAAAACGTATTTAAAAATAAAAGATATAAATTCATTGATTAATTTAGGGAACGCTGCTATTAAAATACTGTACTATTATTTTTGTTTTAAAAATCATATATAAAATGAAATTTTATTAAAACAAAAGTGTCCCAAATAAACTAAAATAAAATAAACAATTGTCCGAACTCAAGCCAGATATTAAAGCCAAACCTAACTTCTAAATTATGTTAGCTAACTGTTTCAAATTTTTTCGCATAATTTAAAGAAAATTTCCAATAGGAAAAATTCTTCTAAAAATATAATCCCAAATCTGAAATTCAAATAAAGCTTCGTTCAGTACAAAACTCACAATGCGACCCTCGCTGAAAAGCGAAAGGCTTTCGTTGTGGCCACGTCTTGGATTATTTCTTTGTGGCGCCGCTTGGCCAACAGGTTAGCCAAATGTGGCCTTAACGAAGTAGCCAATTGGCTTGGCCCGACATGGCTTGGCCTGGCCTGGCTGGCCTGGCCAATTGATTGAGCGAGCGAGTCCCTTTGGCCTTGGGCCAGTTTTTATTGCACAAATATTGACATAGAGATTGATTGAAAGGCTTTCAGCCAAGTTCGCTGCAAATGCTGCTCGTTTCCGTTTGTTGTTCGCCTTGTTGTTGTTGTTGTTGCTATTGTTGTTATTGCCATTGTTGTGGCAGCCCGTTGTCACATTCACTTAATTTGCTGCTAATGACCCGGCCAACAAACGATTTTTGGTGCAATGCTCTGTGCCGTTCAATCGGCTCAATTAATAATATGAGTTTCTTATTTGGACACTTGGCTTACAGTGCGGCTATAATGTATAACCGGGCCCCCAGCTTAACCGGAGAACCGGTCGCAATTTGTTTACTCAAGCATTGGGAGTTTTGACTTTGTTGTGAGTCCGAGCGTCTCAACTGGTCCGATTATATCATCGGCTTTAATTGCCCGGCCAATTGGACTGGCCAATAAATCACCAAAAGAAAACTAGACTCATATATATATATTTGTGTGTGTAATATATATACTTGCTGTAATTATATATATTTCAGATGTTATATCACGAGCATAGAAAAGTGAAAACAGTTTAGTTTACTTTACTCTATTTTGCTTTGCTTTGCTTCATTTCTTCTTCGTCTGCTTCTTTGTTATTTAATTTCTTTTATTTTGTGTGTGTTTTTCCAGTTGCGGAAAATGTTTCTGTTAACCAACGGATGAGCTGCTGACCAACTGCAAGTGTCGTTTTGGCCATTTGTTTGCTAGCTGTTAGCCGCGTTTGCCGTTACGCAATAGGTTAACCGGAAAATCCTACTGAAAAATAAAAAAACGTGTTGATAACACATAAACACATAGTTGCTCTATTAACTGCATATGAACCGCCTTTATGAATGTCCACAAATTAACTCGAGATTATATTCATTGCAAGCCAAGCAAATTGTTATTCATTAAAAGGAGCTCGGGCCAAGGTGATTGAGGCGAGCGTTTATGGTTGTTGTTTTAATAATATTAATTATGTAATTATATTTATATATTGAGACAGTGCTCAGTACTTTCTGGAATAATAAATCAAAGCTAAAAATCATAGAATGAAAATATTTATTTATTTAATTCTTTAAAGTGCAAGATTCACTTTAAAGAATTTATATTATTCTAAAAATAAATAAAATAAATATTCTATAAATATATTTGTCTACTAATATTTATTTTTATACTTTTTTACTCATATTTTTTTCTTTCTTAACATACTCTTCTCAAAAATTAAATTTTATATTTGTTTGCTTTTTAATTTTTAATATTTTCTTCTCAAAAATCATATCTTAACTTAAAACATTTTTTTTTTCTTCTCAAAAATCAAATTATATTTTTAAATGTTTTTTATCTTCTCCTTAATATTTTCTTCTCAATCATATTTTATCTTTAAATATTTTTATTTTTTTTATTTTATATTTTCATCTTCAATCATATCATATCTTTAAAACATTTTCCTTCCTTTTCTTCTGAAATCTCATATTTTATATTCAAATTATCATTATATGCGTATATATTAATTTATATAAAGAAATGGTTCATTTATTTATTTATTATATGTCATTTTAAGCAATTATTTATAATATATTGTAATATTATGAAGAGTGAAATCTTATCTATATATAATATTATCTAAATGATAGGCCCTTTATGGCAAAAATCAATCATGTCTCAATTAATGAACTATTTTCTGAACTCTTTTATTTTTGGATAAATGCCAGCTTTCTCTGCAATCATTTGAAAAACATTTGTTAGATAAGCAACAATAAATAATCCTTTCCCAGCCGAGCTTAATAATCGAATACCTTATCAAATTAGGCCTAAAGCGTAACAGCAAATATTTTTGCTAAGGCGCTTCCTGCATTAGACGGCTTAGCCCGTTGGCCAGAACGGCAATGCCAATCAACTCGATTGCAATATCATGACTGTTGCAGTTGCAGTTGCTGTTGTTGCAATTGTTGTTGTTGTTGTTGTTGTTGTTGTTGCTGTTGCTGTTGCTGGTTCGTTGCACATTTAAATTGCACGATTCGAAAATGTCTAGTTAGGTGGTGGCGGGGGGCGTGGCGACAACATTCACATGTTCAGCTGGCGACATATTTCAACGCGCCAGACAGCTCAATTTATGATGACTTCGTTAAGAGCGGCAAATGCTAGCAACAAAAACAAATCAATTGCGATTCGTGATTCGGTTTCAGCTTGCAGTTTTCAGCTACAATTTTCAGCTACAGTTTTCAGCTCGTCGTTTGCGGTTATCGTTTACGGCCTTCTGGTTACTGGCGTTACGGTTACAGTTTCGGTTGTTTCGGGCTTTTAGGCAACCAGGAAGCAGCTACGGGGGCTGCATAATCCTTGTGGCAGGTTCAACCTGCTGCCAAACTGTTGTTGCTGTTGTTGTTGCTGTTGCTATCGGCCGTTGCGGCTCACCATGAAAAGCCAGCAGACATAATCGCCAGCGTTTAACTGAGGCACAAGCTTCAATTACGCTTTTGACTTTGGCGCCGTCACTCGTCTCCGATACGCCGCCCCTTCCACTGACATCTCCTCCGCCCCTCCCGCCCATTTAATTTGGCGGCTCGAGAGTGTGGTGCAGGTTTGGCGGCTTTTCACAATGTGCTTGGCTTGTATTTGAAGGCGGCTTCCATTGCGCTGTCTGCTGTGCGCCTCGCACTCATTGCCGGATTGTCTTGCTAATGTGATTGCCGTTGTGCGTTTGTTGCTGTTGTTGTTGCAAGCATTGTTGCCTTTAAATGTTGTTTTCAACTGTTGTTATATGAGTTGTCTTTTCACTATCAGTCAAGAGCTAAGCGCTCGCTACAATAGCTGCCACGGCTTATGGACAAGCTAAAGTCGTTTGAAGTGTGGCATCTAGATCTTTCTCTGCACTTTGGCAACAATTGAATAGATAAATCGGCTTTAATATGTTTGTCACATTTTTTAAAAATGTGCCCACTGTCTATAGCTTTGTATGTATATGTGTTATACAAAAGAAATATTTGAAAATTCTAATATAGAGAAAAAATATATTCGCAGAAAGTCTCAAAGATAAAGCCTTAAGCTAAGGGAATAATTTTTTTAGACAAGAAAATAAACAAAGCAATTTTTACCATTTTTATTAAGAGTTCATTATGAACTTATTTTCTTCGGACCTTTTTAATGATTTGAATTATGTTTTATAAATTAAAAAAAAAAAAAATGTCTAATGAAATAATGAGCTCATTAATTAAGAAATTTTATATAAATATATAAATTATACATAAAATAATAACAAAAATAAATAGACTTGATTGATTGCTTTATATAGAGAATTACATTTAGCAAGCTTTAAAAATAAAAACTTTTAAATAAGTTTCAGCATTACAACCTACTAAAATTCTACTTAAAGTCAACTTATTCCCTTAAAGCTTTAGTGGCATAGCATTCTTCTCTCAGAAAGCTCTACTTAAGCTATGCTTTAAGCTTACAAATACCCTATTCAAACTGAACTCAAGCCTTAAAGCCCCACAACTCATCTATTACTAACATATTTACTCTTAACATTGAGCTTTTCTTCCTTCACCTAAAGTTAATTAATTCTGTCTAATATGCTAACCAAACTAAATTTGATTGGCTTGAGCTCCACTGCAAGCAACGTCTCTCTTATCACATAAACTTCATCAACTCCTCAAGGCTTCACTTCAAGTTGAATCAAAATCCTAAAGCTCAACACCAACTAAATTCATTAAAGTCAATGTTAAGCTCTCTGTGTCTCTATTACCTGTGTCTAATAGCTGCACTTGATTTTCTGGTTTGCAGCGCGCTCATGAGTCGTCTAGACAGGCTCGGCTGCTGCAATGCAATGTTTATGCCACGCTTTGAAGCACTTGCCGCAACGCAGCAGAGCTCGCCCCGGCGCTCTGTTGTCGCGATCTGCAAATAAACACAAAAACCGCTAAGCCGAGCAGCCGAGCAGCGCTGCCTTTCTCACTCTCACGATCTTGCCCCCATGTCTCCATCTCTCTCGCACTATCTAGCTCTCTTTCACACTCTCACTGTTTGCTATTTGTTAACTAAGCAGCAAAAGCTGGTCAAGTGTGTGTGTGTGCTGTTGTGTTTGTCTGCGTGTTTGATTATGTTTTTATTTCACTTCCAACTTTGTATTGCCTGCTCGCTCGCACTCGGTTGCACTCTCACTTGTTTAGCGTTTCGTGCTCTGGCACGTTTCACTGTACCCCGCCAATTTATCATTTTTTTTTTCTTTGATTTTTTTCATATTTAAGCCGCGACGAGCGCCACTTGCCCATGCAATTCCATTTCTACTACAGACGCTGCTGGAGCGCTGCAAGAAACAATAAAACGGCGAAAAAACTGCGCGTTGTTTACACAATTAAAAAGAGTTAAAAAATAAAAAGCAAAAAACACACATTTCCAGAAAAAACTAACAACTATAATAATAATCAAAACAAAATCTGGCAACAAGGTGTTAAGCTCAGCGTGCCAAAATGCATTTGCCCCGAGGCGTAAGTGTCAATTAGATGTTTATTTCAATTGCAATAGAAAAAAATAAAAATAAAAAACAAACATAATAAATGAAGTGCAAAGCAACAAAACGTAAATTAAATGTGCTCTCTGACAATTAAAATATCATTTTCATACCTCAATTTATGGCCAACAACAAGTGCAGTTCATTGAACGTGTTCGGACCCATAAATTATGCAAAAATAAAGTCAACATTTGTCTTAATAAAAAATAAATATATATATATATATGAAATGAAACGAATAAACCGCATTGCAGCCCGCTTAGAAAGTACTCACAAATACATACGCACACTCGACGCAGTTGCATAAATTACAAGAAAAAACAAGTAAGAACGTTGCAGTCGGGCGTTACCGACTGCGGAATACTCATTCACATCCCATCAACAATTTAGTAGTTAAATTTCGCTCTAATACTGTAGAATATACAGGTTTTTCCGATTTGCCACGCCCCAACTGGGCGTAGACACCTCATTTTTGGTCAGTTTTTAGAAAGAGATAACGGTACCCTAACTGCAAAGTTTGAATGCTTACCCTCAAAAAATGTGAAAATTACAGGGTATTTTTCGATATGCCACGCCCCTAAAGAGGCGTAAAAATTATTTTTGGGGAATCGATAGAAGAGGCTACCAGTAACTCAACTATCCAAATTTGAAGCTTCTAGCTATTATACTTGAGGAGATATAAACTTTTGCGGTTTGCCACGCCCCCTGTGGGCGGACATATATCCGATAAAACTTTTTGGTCTTGGGTGATCAGTCCGAGTATATATACAAAATTTGAGGTCTCTGCCATCAATAGTGTCCAAAATATAGGAGAATTTAAAAAATCACTATATCTTCAGGTCCGATTTGCCACGCCCCTAATGGGCGTAGACTTATAATTTATCTTCAGACTTTATAGAATCATACCATTAGCTGACGTGCAAAATTTCAGCATTCTAGGTTTACAACTTTAGAAGATACAGTTTTATCCGATTTGCCACGCCCCCAATGGGCGTAGATATATCCGCCATAGCTCGTGATCTTGGGTGGTCAACGCGGACCTACATACCAAATTTCAGCTTTCTAGCTCTTCAACAAACATGATTTCTGGTATATCGGAAAATGCATTTTCCGATTTGCCACGCCCCTAGTGGGCGGATCGGGAAAATTTTAACACTTTATAAATCGGAGATATACACGAGTATGTGTTCCAAATTTCAAGTCTCTAGCTTCAATAGCGCCGAAATAGATTGCGTTCATACGGACAGACGGACAGACGGACGGACGGACAGACGGACAGACGGACAGACGGACGGACAGCAAGACGGACATTGCACAAAACCAATATACTGATTCACTTTCGTGAATGAGTATAAAAAAAACGCAATTACGGAATGACAACAAAAAATATTAATTAAAGATTTCAACTTTTTGTTGGCCCACAAAAATATAAAAAAAATCAAAAACAAGTAAACATTCATTGACTTTAATCGCGCGTGTAATGAACAATATTATTTGTGCAAGCAGATTGGCGAGTTTCACAAAAAAATTAAAAATAAAAATAAAAAAAAATTATGGGCATACAAAATTTTAAGACATGTAAAACTTAATGTAGTGTATAAGAAATAAATATAAATAGCTCTACTCACGCTAAATATTACATGATTTTGAAGCTAATTTTATATAAACTATATAAGTAATAAAAAAGAAATATGCACAATTAATTATATAATTAAATGTGTAGCATTTTTATATGTAGTCACAATAGAAAATTTCATAAGACTTAGTTTGGGGATTCTAAAGGCAGCGAACAAAAATATCTATAGAATCAGGCACTCGAGGTACTCTACCTTCTACTCTCTACTCTAATTCTAATGGTCAGAGATACCGCTTGGAAAATTATTTTAATGCATTTCAAAGTGCAGCATGTGTGAAAATAATCGAAACCTCAGAATGAATTTAGTGTAAGCCGAAATGTGTAGCATTTGACTTGGCTCTGCCTTTGAGAAGGTCAAGAAGCGAATGAACGAAAGTGCAGCCAGGGACAATGACATTTTACAGCGTCTCGAATGGCCCAGAGAGATTTAGCATTGGTTTTCTTGTCTGGCAACTTAGAATATAAAATATATATATTATTTTTTTATTTTTTATATATTGGATAAATAAATTCTATATATATTATTAATATACAGTATTTCTATATGTCAAAAATATTTTTAAATTTAAATATATAAAGAATATCTATTACATATTTTATAGTTCAGTTCAGTTCAATAAAGCTAGCTTTTTTTTTTCTTAAATATATAAAAAATATCTCTTAAAGATTTTTAGTAGAATTTTACTCATTTAATCAAGTAGTTTCCAGACTGCCGTTTGAGCAGCTTCACAGTAACTTAACAACAATTTAATGACTCTCTATTCGAATTGGCAATTAAAGCCAAGAGGATTTCAATTGTAATGCGCCAATTAAATGGCTGTATTAGAAGCAGAATTAATTCAGATTTAACTGAAATTAAAGTCACTTTTATTAGTTTGGCCATAAATCATGGCCAGCTTTGATTTAATTTCATTGCATTTGCTACATATTCATTTGGTTCACTGAAATAATAAATCATATCCACATACTATATATAGATAATTTTATACACAGACTCATTTGCATGGCTCTGTTAAATGAGAAAATATGATTTTGCTTGATAGTTTATGTTAATTTTAATTTATATAAATTTGGTTTGATAGACAGCAAGCACAGTTTGTTTTAATTGCCTTTTGTAATTAATTATAATGCTGTTTTAATTTTAATTTATATGATTAAATATGTTTTATTATGCATATCTCTGTATACGAAATATATTTAGCTATGTAAACGTATAAATTACTGCACTGCACTGCGTTTCATCAGGATTGAGCTGCCTCCACGTTTTATTTTAGTGTTGAATTTTTTATATATTTTTTGAGTTATATATATATGTATATATATAAATTTATGTTGTTTTTTATAGTTCTCTATAGGTTTAAATTGATGTGGCAGATTCTTTTCAGATCGCATCAAACTTTCGCCTTTACTGACTTAATTTCAGCCATTTTTCAATTCCATAAAATTCTTCATCTTTACCATTAATAGGCATCTGAAAATCTCTTTTCATTTTTCTGTTTTCTTTTGACACTCATCTCGCTCTTTTACATACTCCCATCTTACTTTTCATTTAAAATTTCCATCGTACACTTCAAGTTCAATGCTTTCTCTCCAACTACTTTTTGCACTGTAATTACAATTAATATATTTTCAAGCAACCGTCATCCTTGTTCATCCTTGTTCATCCTTGTTCATATATCAATCCTTTTGCAGCAATTCGTAGCTACTTCACTCAGTTATTATTCAGCAAGAATTTCCACTTGGGCTGCAATTAAATAGCATTCGACTTCCTGGCCATGCGCCATGCTCACTTCAATCACTATTGCTTATTGATTATGTGGAAACCAGACTATGAAGCACGCTTTCCTCTCCCTAACTCTCTCGTTACCCTAATAATCTATTTAATAGCTAATACTTTGGCAACCTTTGAATTATTATTTTAGTCAATCAATTAAGTTCCCACAGCTGTCACTTCAGATGTAAGTTTACTACACTATACAGTCTGTCTAGGCAGCAAAACCATTTACCAATGTATATGTATAATATACAATATATTTAATATTTTACTAGCATCTATTAAAAATATACTCAAGGCAGCTGTTGCCCTATTGGGGCCACATGGCCCGAAGAGCGGCCGTTCAACATGTTATTTAATGTCTTGGAAAGTGATGAGCTAAGCGATTTAATAGCAATTTTGCCAATTTGGCAATTTTCGATTTCATTTTGCTTTGCCAGGCTGCTAATTGAATGTGCCTCGGGTTTGGGCTTGAGTTTGGAACAATTTCAATTGGGCAAAAGATTCTCTATCTTTTGCTAGCGAAATCAATAACTGTGCTTAAAGCTAACTTCTAGCTTTATTACTGCTCTGCTTCTCTTTGGGTAATTACGTTTGGATTGTGCCTTATGGCCACGCCCACAACAACGACGGCAGGTCGCAATCAAAATTCGATTTGCCGACGCCGAAAATAGACAGCCAAATGGCAACTGGCATTATGCTAATTATATTGTTTTGTTTATAGACGCTCGACTATTTTATTCTTTTTTTATCACACAAGAATCGAAGGGAACAGAGAAACAAGTGGATGAGGCGTGTATACTCTGTATGTGTACAAGTATAGGGTATTCTGAGAGAATGAATGGAGTCATAAGTGGATTTCAAACCGTTTTCAAGTGTGACTATAACTCTATCTTATACTCTAAGTGCATAGGGTCTCTTATACTTCTACTTCTACTAGTCTTATAATCAACTCATGTGTGTGCTGGGCACATTTGTTTTATAACTAGATCTTATACTCAACTCATGTGTGCTGGGTTGTCTTATACTCAACTCTTTATGTATAAGACTCGAATATATGTATTTATATGCTACTCATCTTCTACTCAACGCTTGTGTGAAGAAGACGCTGCAGTGCTCTGGCTTGTTTAAACTTATACTCAAGTCTTATAAAGTATTGTCTCTTATAAAAATTATGACTCTAATACTCCACTCCACCCTGATACAGTTTTCTTATACAAAGTCCAATTATACTTGTTCTCAGATGCAAGCTAATTAAAAATGGAAATTCTTATTTTTTAATTAAATACAAAGTATAAATATATTTTTTATTTATTTATTAATAACCTAATATTGAATTATTATTATATTTCTATTTCTTTAATTTTTAATTTGTTTAAATATTTATTTTTTATTAATAATTTAATAATAAACAAATATAAATATAAAATATAATTTAATACAAGAAACAACACGTAAATAAAGAATTTTATTTAATTTAAGTGATTTTAATATAATATCTAAATATAGTTTGAATTATATAAATTACTTATAGAGACTTTTAGTTATAAAATTAATTCTAAAACCTTAATTCATTGCCTTGGTTGAATATTATTTACTTAAGTAAAGCATTCTCTACAGCCATAAACCAAGAGCTAAAATATAAAATAAAATATATCATATATGTCCCCTCGAGCTATAAGACACATCGGATGCTTATACCAAGAACCCCTATTCAACTGCTTCCCGCACACACACACACACATGTACACGCTCTTCCTGTTCATTTGTGTGTGTGTGTGTTCTGCTTCTCTCCTTTTTTGCAGGCATTAAGTTTGCTGTTTATCACTTGCATGATGTTTGCCCTGACAAGCGGCCATCCATCAAACGAGAAGCTTAAGTAAGTGTAACGGCCACGCCTTTAACGACAGGTCCACAAACAACAGCGAACCCAAAGCCCCCACTCCTCCAAGCCAAACCCAAAGCCAAGCGCAAGCCCTGACTCCAACTGAATCCTGTTTTTATTCACAATCACACTCACATTCACATTCACACTCACATTCACATTCACAATCGACAATTCGCAGGATACGCATCCATGTGCCAGTGAAGCATCATACGCATGTGCACACGAACACGGTGATAAAGAAGGTGCCGTTGCCCATCCCGGTGCCGGTCAAGGAGCACAAGGAGCCAAAGAAGCATCATCGCAGCAGTCATAGCCATCATCATTATCATCAGCAGGATGAGCTCGATGATGATTTCGAGGGTTACGATTATCCCGTCAAGGCCAAGCGGCGCACGCGGCATCCTTTTGTCTAATAATGTCCACGTGTGGGCGTCACGCATTGTGGGCGTGTCATCAACATGAGAACCAAACGACCACTCACACACACACACTCCTACACACTCACACACACATACGTAATTTTCGCATATTAAGCAAATATAAACCAAAATAATGATCGAATGAAATGGACAAGTCTTACTAAAGCAAAGATATATAGACAGATATATATGTATATATTTAACTGGGTGTGATTTGTCACTGTTTAGACAATAAGCGATGCCTTTTCTGTGCAATAAACAAATAAATAAAAGTATTTTATTTAAGCAACACTTGCAAGGCGTCTTTTATTCTCTTTACTTGGGCACCAAATTTCACCAGCTGAAATTCTTATGGAATTAAACTGTTGGTCAACTTGGCTTTAATTCGGGTTGGTTTAACGAATTGTTATAATTTTTCTAGAACAATATTAGTAGAGCTGAAGCAGCAAAATATGTATATTTAAGATATCTACTTACATATATACATATGCAATATATAATTTAATAAATATAAGTGAGGCACTTACCGATTTGTCATGAATATGACAATATATACTGGAAAAAGTAGAAAGAGTAAAGAATTAGATGAAAGATTAATTTAAAAATATAAAACAAAAATTACAAAAAATATAATTTTGTATAACTTTTTAAATATATTCTTTGACAATAAGTGTTTATTAAAAAATATTTTTTTAATTGATTTTTTAAGGTGGATAATGATTATGCTAAATTCTTTAAATATTTTACTTATTTGCTTTATATATTAAATATATCGTAAAATTAAAATAAACCAAAATATTAAATATCATCAAATTTATATATAAAAAAAAATAATAATAATAATAATTTTGTATACATTTTGGTTTTTTTTTTTTCATATTTTCTGTAATTTTTTTAATTTTACAAAATTTTATATATATATATATATATATATATATATTTTTTTTTTTTTTTTTTTAATTTTTTGTTATTAATTTGTTTAGGGTTTTACTTATTTATTTATTTTTTTTTTGTTTATTATTTTTTGGTAGTATTACCTTTGATCTATTATTATTTATTTTTTATTTTTTTGTATATTATATATACATCGTAAACTTAAAATTAAATAAATGTTGAATATAATTAAACATGTTTTACAATTTCTGAAAACCAACCTAAAAGTATGCTAAGCTTACCATTTAATATGTATACGTAATAATAGTTACATATATCTATATATCCATAAATATAATATAAATATAAATTAACTATAAATATATTAAATTTGTCTAACCAGAAATTCATATAAATATAAATAAAGTAAAGAACAATTTCAGTTTAGGCAAATCTTAAAGCTTTAGTTTAACTAAATTGAGACTCTTACTTCCAAAACATATTCTAAAAAAAAATAAGAGAAAAAACCAATAAAAGTGACACAGTTTTGCGTGCCACAAAAAGTGAGAGGCCAAAGCCAAAGGCCAAAAGCTGTGGCCGCAACAAAAGAGACTTGTTGATTATGCCACCTGGCCAAGTGCCACGCCCACAAACGCAAATTGAAAATGGCAAATCCAAAGAGATATTTGCATTTGCCAACAGAAATTGAAATTAACGTGCGGCAATTGGGGAATACGCCAAAGTATATAAATAAATAATTAAATCAAAAGAAAGGACAGCAAACGCAACAACCGCTAAAAAAAACAAAACAACAACAACAAAATACGGCTAAAAGCAGCCAGAAAATAATGATGTGCGCTTGGCCCACTTTTTCAAGCAATTGCGATTAGTGTCGACCTGAGACTGAGCAACAATGGGGGCAGAGGCCGAGATAAAGCTGGCAACAGCTTCTGCAGCTTATGGCCATATAAAATATGCATGCCTCAGGTACTGCCGCATACCCAAAGCATCAGCATGATGAAGCAGATGAGGCAGATACTTTTGGGTTGGAGCGCAACGGATGGGTTGCTCTGTCAGCACGTGCTGCCCGTCTAGTAAACAAAAATGTTAAAAAAGAATCAACAACAACAATGGCAGCAACAACAACAGCAACAAAATGTAAACAAGTTGGCAACGCACATTGCCCCAGCTCGAGGCACAACTCTGGCGCGGCAGCTGCTCGGCGGCTGATGGCTCATTTGGCCAGAAGGCACTCGAGTGTGCCCAACCATTCAACCGTCCCATTCAGACAGACGAGCGCTCTCTGTGTGCCACTCGAACGGCACTCAAACTGTGCCGCCGCCACTCAATTTGAGTTCCGATCGAATCTGTGCCACCAGCCAATCGCATTTAATCTGTATGCGTGCCTGTGTGTGTGTGGGTGTGTGTCTATGTGTCTGTGTGTGTGGCTGTCTGCCCCATAATTAATATGACGTCAGTTGCAACAACTAATCAGCGGCGACAACGCCGCACGCAGCTAAAATCAACAAAAACAATAGGTGAGCGAGTGAATTGAGAGTGAAAGGCGTGACAGAGAGAGAGAGAGAGAGAGAGAGACCGAGAGAGATATGCCCTGTAATAGTGTACAAATGGGTAGTTTATAACAAGGAATCCAATATGAAGTTAAGGAAAAAAGTGTAAGGAAATAAAAGTGGGGATATGATGGGATATGTGAAGAACGGGAAAAAAGGGTAGACGATTAAATAGAGGAATAACGGAATCTGTGAATATTATGCGAAGAGCTGGAAAAACAAGCGGAAAGTAAATAGACGAATGATGAGATCTATGAATATAATATGAAAAAAAGAGGGTAAATAAATAGAGAAGGAGGAATGATGGAATCTGTGAATATGATATAAAGAGTATGAAAAATGAGTGGAGAATTAAATAGGGGACTGATGGGATCTGTGAATATGATGTGAAGAGCAGCTAAAATACATATGTAGAGGAATATATAGAAATAGAAATAAAAATAAATAGACATAAAATTAATTCAACGAAATTAATGAAAATTCAATGCAACATAAGAAAAGTTACAGACAATAAGAAAAAATAAAATAAAAAAATGTTAAGAAAAAAAAATAAATAAATACGTTTTAAAATATATTTGGGTTAATTATGAAAAATATTTAAATATATGGTAAATACTATTAATTTATTTTATATTTATTTTATAATTAATGATAATTAATACGAATTTTAATAGAGATAAGTATATGTATATATGTAAGTATGAGTACATAAGCATGGTCTTAGAATAGGCATACATACAAGCAAAGCTGATATATGTATGTATATAGCAAAAATCTATAACAATAAATAATCAAATTATTATAGTATTAGAATTACAGCAGCTGAAATTATCCTTTGTCAAATGAAGGCTTGCAGAGTAAGCAGAGAGGACAACAACAACAACAAAATAAAACAAAAACATTCTAACATAGTGTTGAGCGTTGCCTGAAGTAATTGTATAAATAAATATATGCATATGTATAAAGCTACTCACAAAACCACACACTCAATCTTTCTCTCTCTCACCTCTCTCTCTCTCTCTCTCTCTCTCGCCATCTCTGTCATGCATTGTCTGCACAATCTGGTATCGAGGTGTCAAACTCATATATTTACTTGTCGCCCCTTGATATTGTTGTGGCTGCTGTTGTTGTTGTTGTTGTTGTTGGCTTTGCGGCTGTTGTTTAATTTGACGCGTTTATTTGATTAGGCCCGGCTAAGCACAGTACGTGACTGGGTTAATTTGCCAGACACACTCACACACACATGCACACACACGCACACTCAGTCACTCTGCGTATGTGTAGTTCAGTGAGAAAAGTCAAATAAATCGCCAGCATGTCCTAAGTACATTTGCTTGTACACAAAAATGTGCATACTTCGCATAACAATGAAAGCAGCAGGAAAACTCTAACGATATGGCACACTGGGGCACCGCTAGTGGCAGCGGCATTGGCAGTGCCAGTGCCAGTGGAGGGAGGGGCGTGGCACTTGTATAAACTATTTACCAACTACTTATTGTTTGCCCATCAACAATGCCGGCTATCCAAACCGAAAAACCGAATCTGAACCTTTGCCCTAGAGCCAAAAGCACATTAGCTAAGGGATGCAATAAATCTATTGACCTGAGCTGAGATATATTTTAGCAAATACTAATATGCACGACTACAGACTATCAACTCACAGTGTTAACTATACTTTTGTGTATTAAAATAAACACACACACACACACGAAAAAAATTAATAAACATATTTTTTGGGATTGGTTGACATTAATACAAATTACAGACTATCAACTCACAGTGTTAACTATTGATTAGCAATAATTAATTCATTGATTTCTAATAAGAAAAGACACAAACTCAATTGTCCGCAATATCTAAAATTTGTAAATAAATGACTAAAACTAAAATAAAATTTATATATACAAAAAATAAAATATACATATATATATATTTGTATTTTTATTTGTATTTTTTATTCATATATATACATTTTTATATTTTATTTCTTTTTTTATTTTTTATTTTTTTAAATTTATTTTTTATTTTTTTAAATTTATATTTTATTTTAAATTTATAATATGTCAACCAATCCCAAAAAATATTTTTATTAATTTTTTTCGTGTTTTTTTTTTACTCAAAAGCATAACTATAAATGTATGTTGTAATTTATTTTTCAATGGGATGAATTAAATATTCTTTAAGTACACTTTTTATATATTTTACTTGAAAATTTGTATTGTTATTATTATTATTTTTTTTTTTTAATGTTAAAATATATGCAAAATATTATATTAAATTCGAAAAATCTATATATATCTTTCTATTTTCTACTACAAATTTGGCTTACTGAATTTGTCTCAGATCTTTCTGCATAGTCAACAATAGTTTACATTAAATGCAAATTAACACAGGCTAAGCATTTTGTAAAATAAAATCTCAAATATACTAAAATGCATAAAAATATTACATTTAAGTTCGAAACTCGATTTGAATTTAAAATTTCAATTTGCCTGAAATAAGGGCATATGAATGGCTGTCTCTGTAAACGGGGGCTGCATAAATCTGTAAAAGAGCTTTGAGCCGTGGACAAACAGGCACAAAATGCCGGACGACCTTAGAGCAAACAAAAAAGCATTTTCTGCTCCAGCTGGACAAAATGCCAATTTATGTCTCTCTATGAGGTGGGCACCCGCCCCACCTCTCCGCCTACCACCGCACGCCTCCCAACCGCCTACGCTTTTGTATGTTTTGGTGTCTGCAATTTTTGAAATACAAACAAAAATATAGTCAAACTCGAATTTGCTGACTTTGGTTGCATACATTATATATATTTATATAGAGAGTATAAACTGGGTCCCCGGCACAGAAATGTGCCTCAATAAACAAGAATAAGTAAAAACGTTGCAGTCCGGGATCATCGCGCACAGAATACTCATTTTCCACGTCCCCAAGGGCGGATGGGAAAAATCTGGACTCTTTATAATAATAATATTATATTATAATAATAATAATTCCTAGTTTGAAGACTAAAGAACGGACAGACAGCAAGATGGCGACTACACAAAACCAATATACTCGTTTCAGTTTCGTGAATGGGTATAAAAATATGCTTAAATATTTCATAAAAACTTATGCTATATTTATAGGGGTAGAGAGAGTGAGGATGGTAGAGGTTGGGAACGGGACTAGGAGAGGAAGAGTGGGGACAACCTGTATGCCTTACAATATGAATTATTTTAGCTTTTTTTTACTGCATTCATATTTTTATGACCCTTTGGCCTGGGGCCACATAGAAGAACTGGCTGTAGAATCAATAAGACGATTTTCGCTGCCCTTTCACATTTTATTGCTATATGTGTAGATATATGCGTGACGGTTTTATGGTCCAGCCACGCCCCTTTCTGGGCGCATTTTATAGCCAAAGTGGAGGGCTGGGTCTGGTGGCCCTGGTCTAGGCAACACTTTTCGCTTTGGCCGTAATGCATTGTGTCTAATACCCAATTAATTTGGGATTTGCCTTTAATGAGTCCCCCCAGCGAATTGCCAGCTGCCGCCACAAGCCCCCCAAACCCCACCCCCTTGTATCCCTCTCCTTTCGCAACAGCCAAAAAATTGTGCGTGTGGGTAGCTCGAACAGCGGACTTAATTAGCGCCCTGGCTAGCGGTAATAGACACAAATATATAGCCATAAAAATGCCCACCAAATGGCCATACATTCCCAGACACACTTACATTCGCAGCCAAACACACGCGCACACACACACATACAGAGGGAGAGAATAATGCGCTGCAGCACGGCGACAATAATTTGTATCCATCTGCTGCACATTTGCTATCATTATTGTTATTATTATTATCATCATCATTATTGCCAAATGAGCTCTTTAAAAAATTTAAGATTGTCTATACATAAATACCCATTAACACCTTGACAATTGGGTATATTTATGATGTCATTAAAATGATGCGGAAAAAAACAATAAAATTTTTTATATGTACTAAAAATTTATAAATTTAAAAATATCTCAGCGGGGGTTTGTCAAATGTATAAAACAAATATTGCTAGAGTCTTCGACCTATTTTTTGTAAACTTTAACAGTACAATGATTAACAATAAAATTTGTTCTTTTAACAATAAAATTATCTAATTATTTAAATCAATAATTAATTAAATTAAATAATTAATTCTTACAAACTAAAAAAAAAAAAAAAAATAATTTAAAATAAACTACACTACAGGGTATCTGCAATATAAGCAATCTCTTTTTAAACTAATTCCCAGTAAATTCTAAAATTAAATCAAACCAAAATACATTTATATTTCTCATATTATATATGCAATAATTTATAAATTCAAATTAAATTTTTAATTTAAAACCTAAATTAATTTATAATTAATATACGAAATCAATCAATTATTCAACTAATTTCTATTTGTATTATTAAACTTAAATACAAAAGCATTTTTGGAAAAACTGCCAACATCAAATGCAGAAAATTCACATAAAAACCGCAATTCTAACTGTGATTTGATTGCGTGGAAAAGTTCAAAGTGAGAGAAAAAGCTTAAATGCAATTACATTTACTTAGCGAATCTATGTGAAACCATCAAAATAAACCCTTTTCGCTTTATTATTTCGCTCAGCTAAAGCTCGTTTTATTTATATGTATGATTTCTCATCAAATGGAATCCACACAAACAGAGAAATACACACACACACACACACACACACAAATATATGCACAAGCGCAAACAAACACATACAAGCACGTGCAAATAATATCCATCAGCTCTATGGCCGCAGATTTGTATGGGGGACCGCACCCAAAAAAGAAAAAATAAAATAGAATAAAAGGGAAAACCAACAACAGGCATTAGAAGAAGAAGCAGAAGAAGAATAAGCAAAAGACGACGACAGCGACAACGACAGCGGCAGCAACGCAGGGCCACTGTGAAAATGCGGTGCCATTTATTGAATCAGCTAGAGGCAAATAGACGCGAGGGCAATCGGCACCCAAATTGTGCTGTGAGTATCTCTTACAACTAACTAACGGTCATGTAAATGTATATATGTACATATATGTGTAGGCATGTGTGTATATGTGCTTGTGTATAGAAGGCAGCGCATGCCGTGAACTGTTGCGCGAAGCAAGCGCCGTTAATGAACTTAAGCTCAGTCGCGCACACATAGACTAGTTGACTAAACACACACACACACACGCATATTCACTCGCACGCATAGAGCGTAAAAGGAGTGCGACACACACACACGCACACCCACACTAATGCAGTGAGTCGAGGCAGTGACCTACCAACCTACTCAAGCAATTTCGCATGCTATGCACGAAAACTGAAACCAAGGCAAATAAACGCCGCGACGCTTCAAACCAAAACATGCACACAAACACAAACACACACGCACACACACTCGCGTTCATTTGCAAACACTCGAAAAACGGCAACAGTTTGCGCGAGCTTCCAACTAGAACATGCTGCGAGTCGCAACCGATTGGTTTGAGCGCAACTCAGATCGAACCGCAACATGTTCGCTGCTGCATGCCAAGAGCCGAACTATGACGTATGCACGAGAGCGCTCGTGGCTGCCTGCCAATGCCACCCACTCCAGCGCTCGCGCTCACTCAATGCGACTCACTCACACCCGATAACACACACGTTGAGTGCGACGCTGTTTGAGCGCAAACGTCAACGTACTTATATTGGCGGCATCTTTTGTAGCAAAAAATTTTTCGCACAAGTATCGCAGACGACGCTGTTCTGTTCACACGCCACGGCAAACGTTGCTGCTGCGCCGCTGCGTTCCGGGCTGTTACAGTTACAATACGTATCAAAGTATCGACGTCAAAGCGCGGCGTGTGCGTGTGATAATACAAATTGTATACATACATATATACACAGATATATTTTGTAAAAAAATATATAGAGAATATAAAAATTTCATATTTTGGCACGCGTGGCAATCGAATAATAAAACCAATAGCAACAAATTGGAGTTAAACAAATAAATAGGCACAAGTCCGCGCCGCGTCTTGCTGTCTATGCGTGCGTGCGTGTGTGTGTGTGTGTGTGGGAGCGTGCGTGCGTACGTCTGTGTGTGTGTGTATGTACGTGTACGTCGCGCCTTGTTTCTGTGTAGTAGTGCGAGCAAAAAGCGCTGATTAAAAGCTTAAATTGGCTTAAACAAAGCGTACAATCAACAAGAAATAAACAACAAGCTGAACCATCAACAAGCAACAACAACAACAACACCAAATAATAAATAAAAATATACAAAAAACAAAACCGGCGCAAAGACGCTTCAACAACCAAAAAACAACAGCAACTACAACAAATAATAAATAAAAATACAATTATTTTGCTGATATTGCAAGCAGCTCAGCAGAAAGGTGCGACAAAATTTATAATTGTTTCTTTTTTTTAATCATATTGTTTGACAATTGCTTCACATTTCTTAATTATTATATTTAATTAGCAAACACTGCACAAATATTTAATATAATTAATGCAAATACTTGGCGTGAAAAACAAGGGAAACAGAAAAAGAAAATAAGAATATGGAAAAAAAAAATAAATTCTCATTTACATTTTCTTTAAATGCTTCGCTCATTGGCGGCGGCGGAAATAATCGTCCGATATCTCTATATATTTACATATATACAAATGTTTAACGCCTAAGTCCAGACGTCTGCACACGATTTTTTAACACTAAACAACATGAATTAAATAAATATTTAGAGCAATTTATTTGAGACTTTTTACGGCAAATTTTAGAGCTTTGTAAATAGCATTTTACATGGAAATTTGTAGCGGATTTGGAAGGGATTTTAAATATACTATATATAAAATATTTCAATATACATCCGTAGTAAATTTAAAGTACAACTTTTAGTGCAAATTTATAGTTAAAGTGTTTTGATAAACTCAGGTCGTATACTTAATAAACTTCTCTTTGAATTATTCTTATTCTTTTGCTTTCAGAAAAAATGTATGATACATAAATATAGATTTAGTTCTACAATATTTTTCTTTTTAGATTTTTTCTGAATTAATAACTGAAATTCTCTTTAATGAAAAAGTGAATAAATACATTTAAAGTTATTTAAATTAAGTACTATATTGAAATTTTTTATCTTATTAGAAACATCTGCAGTATTTATATTTGAGAATATCTTTCTGAGCAATTAAATTAAATTCTGTTTATTGGATATGGTTTTTGCCAGAAATGTATTTGTATATACTAATTTAGTATATACAAACAACGTCTAAATTAGCCTCAAATTTGACTTGCTTATGCTGTAAAATTTTTTTTAAATATTAAAAACAAGTTCTATAAATTACTTTAAAAAGTTGTTAAATTTTTAAACATAATTAATTAGGTTAATTGTAAATGAATTTAATTTTGGAATAAATCACAAATAATAATAATAATAATAATAATAATAATAATACACAGAAACTTATTTACCATTTATTATTATAAGGTATTTTTCATTCTTAATGAGCTTAATGATTTAAAAAAAAAAAAATAAAATAAAAAATGTATAAATAAAAAAATAAAAAAATAATTTATCAAGTAATTTTAAAAAATATATAAAATCGAATAAACAATAAAAAAATTAAAGTGAATATTTAATAAATTTGAATAAAATTTAAAACTTAAATAAAATAAAAAATAAATAATGCCAATGTCAATAATATTCAACAATAATTTATGAAAATCAGCTTTCATATCAAGATATAGATAGATTTGTTGATACATATTTATCACCTATACCTTAATAGATATAAACATATTTATCTACTACTATACTACTTATCTACTACTACTATACTATATATTTATCTATATATTAACAGCAGTATCAATAAATTCTCCACAACATAACGAAATTTTATTGAGAAATATGAAAATCTATTCCAATCAATGCATAAATTCAATACAAATATTTGTTTTGTAGTGCCTGCCAAATACTTGGAGAGGAGCAAATCAAATCAAATATACCTAACAATGTGCTGTGTATAACAGCTGTATTTATATATATTTTATTTAAATCCATTCTCGCTTGCTAACTGCAGCCGATGAGAATGAAGAAGAAGCAGAAGAAGAAGACGCAGAAGAAACATGTGTTTAAGATATATCGACAAAAAGTCTTTTATAAATATATAAATATATGTATATGAATATATATATTTATATGTTTATATATATAGAAGAAATGAAATCATTAAAGATTCTTAAGAATTGGCATGTTGGTGCCAAAGCACACACACACACAGATACACCTATACATTGCTAAATAAATAGCTAAGGGAACCGTCAGCCAAAGAGACAAATCTTTTTTGTTAAGCATTATCACAGAATTGTTTAGCGCCAGCTGATTAAGTGTCAAAATGTGTGCAAAGTGTGCGAATAGAAAGAGATGGATAGCTAGCTATAGCTAGAGTGAAAAAGAGAGAGAGAGAGAGAGAGAGAGAGAGAAGTGATGTTGGCTGCTTGCAGCTTTTGCCAATTTCAACTTCATTTCCATCAGTGCTACGTGCCGGGATCTTAAACCGGAAATATGCTCCAAGCAGCCATCACACCGTCCCCCTCCCCTCTTGCACCCCTTTCAACCGCTATGCCACGGTGCTCCCCTTGCTGCATATCGCTCAGCGCGTTTTGGCTGCTGACAAACCAATTTACTGTGGACACTAAAAACTACGAGTGAAAATATTTGAGCGGAATGCGTTGGCGATTTGCTTAACAACAATTTCAAATTAGAAAAGCTAAAGGCCAGAAGCACAAATTCCCAGCGACAGCAACGTTAAAACGAAACAAAAAAACGTGTGTTTACAATTCTCAAACAGTTAAATGCAAACCAAAAAAAAAAAAAAAAAAAAAAAAAAAAAAGCCAGAAGAAAAACAGAAATAATAGCCGAGATTTTTAGCATAATTAGAATTTTGGCCGATAATTACATTGTTTTACAACCGAAATGACCTTGACCATGAATTTACTGTTGCCATAAACCTATTTACAGCAATTTGTTTAGGCTTTACAGCATTCCCAAAATTTACATTCTATTCATTAAATTGATTAAATGGCTTAACGTCATTTTAGTTTTAGTTGTGGGGAATTATAAAATATATATTTGTAATTAAAACGATGTTCGATGTCTATGTTAATTTACAGATTTTGACTATTTCAGAATTGATTGCTCTGCACAATATAGCTGTAGTTTGTTTTTAAAACTGAAACTTTGCTGTTGTTGAAATGTTAACAGCAGTAAAAGTTTGTTGGAAACAAAATTTGTGTTGATTCTTACATAATTATTACTGAAACAGATGATGCTGTAAGGCATAATTAATTGGAGCTTGAGGTCTTTGTGATTGACGGGAGTGGGAGGCTAAGAGACTCCGCAGGGATGTAACGATGATTTCGACTCGTAAAAGTTAATAAGATTGTAAAATATTTTAAAGATATATAAATAAAAATTTTAAAATTTGAATAGAAACATGAATAAAATTTTTCTATCTTATAATAAGTAATATATTTAATATATATAATATATAAAATATTTTAATACAAATAAATAAAAATAGGCATGGTCTTGAAATATATAAAGGAAAAAATGTGAAAGCTATAAATAATTGAATAAATAGCTTTAATAAAAATAAATATTATGCATTAATTTTATTTTTAAATTTTGAATAATTATAATAATGAATTTAATAATAAATTAAAAATAATAAATGCAAAATATTAATTTTTATTTTAAGATATTATATATATTTTATATTTTTATTAATTTTATTTATATATAAAAGTTTTTTTTTTTTCAATCGAAATAAACATTAAAGGCTTGAGTGGTACACAGACAGAACCTAATATTTTATTTTGACTTAAAAAAAAAATTTCTAGGCTTTTCTAGTTAGCTGTAGAAAATGTTCTACTTCATTTATTTCGGTTTTTATATATATATACTAGAAAACAAAAGTAATTTCCTTTTTGCAAAACAGAGCATAACTAAGTTAGAACTAATTGAAAATTTATACGCAACAATGCAGCTCGGATTCAATTAGTTTCCCAAACAGCTCCCATCAGGTTGAGTGAGTCTGTGTGTGTGTGTGTGTGTGTGTTCGTTTGCTAGTACTTAACTGCTTTAAAGAGCCGCAACAACAAAAGCAACAAACAAACAAACAAAAGGCATATTTAAAGCAGCCCCGGCCAGATAAAGAGGCCTGCACTAAAGATAAGCCAGAAATTTGGTACGTGCCTGAAATGCTATAGCCCCTATAAGAGAGACAGAGAGAGAGAGTATGAGGGTGGGCATTGTCAGGGGAAAACTAAAACAGTTTTTTGTAACTGTGACAGAGAAGAGGAGTGCTAGGGGTAGGGGGGCAAGTTCATTGGGCCCTGCCAGTTGTCGCCTTGAAGGACGTGTGCTAAACATTTGCATTTGTAAATCAATTACAACATTTACCAGAATAAAAGAGAAAACTTTTTCGCATTTCAAATTTTGGGGCAGACGAATTGCTGCACAGGGCTGCACAGGGCGCCAGCTGTGTGTTAATGGCCACTCTTGTATCGTATCGTATCGTATTGGATCGGAGTGGAAGTGAGCAAATAGTAGCTAATGCCACACACACACACACACAAATTTCAATTGATGTGCCCAAACATCTATTGCCATGCCCAAAAGCAAAATTGCTCACAGCAGTACGCCCCCCACCGCTCCGCCTGTCTGTTACAGTAATCTCTCTGCTTATTGTACACGCCCACCTCTCCCACCACCACCATTGCCCTCCGCTCGCGTTTTCGCAAATGACATTTGACATTACTAAATGAAATGCAATCAGAATTGTTTATGGGATTTGTTGGCCCTGGTAACGCGCAGCACACTCAGCTTCCAACATTTTCCTCTCCTTGTCTCTTTTTTGTTTTAATCAAGTCGTCGAAGCATTTTCATTTATCTTTCGAGGAGCCGGAGCTTGCCTTCAGTATAGGTAGTTAGGCCATATGTTGTCAAGTTGTTGACGCTTAAGTCTCAGCTAATCTTATCGAAAATCCTTTCGTTCCATAGCATTGGCTTTTTTCTGATTCTCTGCATCGCTCTTTGAATTCAATTTCGGCTGACAACCAAAAAAAAAAAAAAATATTTCTGTGTGTCTGGAAACCGATTACGAGCTTACCAGAGTCTTTGGTGAACGTTTTTTACAGCACTTTTTACAAATGGCTTTACAATTATTTTTTGAAGGGCATTTTCTTTGCAGTTGGCTTGGATATAAATTATTTAACATTTTGCAAATGGAGGCTGAAAATTGAAATGATTAAAATTGAACTCATTGAAAATTATAATACTCACGTTTGAATAAATAATAATATAAAAAAAATATATTTAAAGTAAA